AAGGGAAAAATCGGTGACATGTCATAGTCCCAACTGGCAAAATCCCAAGTAAAAAAATTGGGATTATGACACTCCCCTTGCAGTGTCATAATCCCAATTTTTTTACTTGGGACTATGACACGCAGGCTGGGTGTCATAATCCCAAATAAAAATTAGACAAAATCCCAAGTTAAAAAAAGTAACAATTTTTTTTTTGCACATTTCGTAAAAGGGAAACCAGCTCAAAGGTGTCAAAATCCCAATTGGGAGTATGACACTCCCTCTGCAGTGTCATATTCCCAAGTAAAAAAATTGGGATTATGACACTGCAGGGGAGTGTCATAATCCCAATTTTTTTACTTGGGATTTTGCCCCTTGGGATTTTGTCATGGCACCGAAAAATCATTAGTTTTTCTTCTTGCAATGAAAAGTAATGATATTTCCCTTTTACAGAAATGTGAAATACATTTGAAAAGCTAACGATTTTACAGAATTTGCCACTGACCATTTTGTAAAAAAACAAACTTTCAGTTTCTTAATATTTATTTAAAGATAATAAAGTAAACACAAGTATAACATTAAAAGAAAAACATTATTCCAACAAACAAATCAAACAACATGAAAACCAAAAATTACGTGTAACAAAAAATTAAACACTATTTCAATATAGTTCTAGGTATATAATAACATATGAGTTTAATTGTATTATTAACAAAATATTTGTTTTGCTTCTTTTATTATACTGCGACAAATTGGGCACAATGTTTGTACGCCCTTTAATTTGCTGTTTTCTTCCATTTTTTGAAAGCATGTTTGACAAACTTTATAATGATGACATGGGTCGAACAAGAGTTCCCTTTCCCTTTCGCAGCAAATTACGCATAACAATGTCATATTTTGTTGCGTTTGTATATGATCTGTACAATGTTGATCTTCATTACTGTCGTCGTCGTCTTCATAATCATCATCGGAACTATGGATTTCATTGACGAATTTTTCTGCAAGTATGCAGTTTTCCATTTTAGAAAACTGACTGAGAATTTCCATCAAAGATATTTTATTGTTTTTTAATAAGTCTAGCCGTTTTTTAATAAATTTGTCGCGAACTTTATTGCCGAATGGTTTTGATTTATATAGATTCGTACAACCAGAAATAGATTTTGAATAATCCATGGATTTTACAAAATCTAATTCGAAAAGGGTTTCTAGGAAGTTGTAAAACGTGCCTCGTTTTGGAAGTTTCATATTCAATCTGCTATGGAAACCTTCAGCAGAATTACTTGTCCTGACAGGTTCTTTATACACTGAAAAGTTTACAGGTTTTTCCTAAAACAATAAAATTTCATAAAATTATATATGTATATGTAATTTAGTTTTCTCTCACTTTTTTCATCCATTGTCGCTCGAAGTAATTTATAAATGGTTTAAAGAAGCTTTCTGTATTATTTGATGCATTAACAAATTTTACATCCATAGCATCTTGTTTTAAAATGCTATAGGCTTCTATAATATTAGCCGGTTTCAATAATGGTAGATACATAAATTTGGAAAATAGGTTTTTGGCATTTTTATCTCTGTTCAATTTAGCTGTGAATCCAGGAATTTGCGTAACTTTCCGTCAAAGAGCATTCGTGTAGTGAAACCAACATCCAACCGTTTTCACTGTTGGGTATACGCTTTTAAAAGCATTACATAAACTGCATTCAAAATCAGTGATTACTGACGTCGGCTTCAAATCGATGACATTTGATTGCAAATATTGCAAAACATGTTTATATGCAGATTCTGACTTATGAGACATTAAAATATATATGAACGGATATGCCTGAAAAATAATGAAAAATGATCGAGTTATTTTAAGATAAATAATAAATTTTAATTTTAAAGTTCTCACATGGTCTGCGTGAATAATGTGAATTATAAGCAATTGCTTATATTTCTTTGAAATAGGTACTATGTTAAATGTTCCATCAACTATATAATTACGTTGTTCCATGTGGTTCCTTCCTTTAATAGCATTAGAAATGGTAGGAGACACAAATAATGAGTAGGCAAAATTTTCTTCTACTATAGTGTCAATATAAAATTTGTGAGGAAAATATATCTGGACATTGTGAATTTTGATGCAACTTCAATAATTTCTTCAAAAGTCATCGGATTTTTTGGATAGTTTTCTTGTTTTATATGAATCAAATGCCTACGCATTTTACCGAACTCCACTGAATGTGATGTTTCCTTATATTTTTTACATTGTGCATCAAATATATCTCGCACACTTGAACGTTTTAATGACGATGCACTCATCACTTCAGTTTTTATCGAATTTATTAATTTTAATTTATCAATTAAGGCACTTTGTTCCCCATGATTGTGGCCGTTCTTGACACTTTTCTCTGTTTTACGGCAAAATCTTGTGCTATTAAATTCAATGGCAACTACAGCTGAACAGTTATCCACATAACAATAATAATATTTAACATTTTTATTCATATATTTATATTTGAAAATTTGATTTTCTTTTTCAATTAATAATTGGCTAAATGAGTTTAGCTGTTCCCCCCTATTGTCTATGGTGAATGG